GGAGCAATATGACAGTTCAGAAAGTATACAATATCACAGTATATGCATTTTGAGATTAAAACATTTAAATTATATTAGAGGGTATTTATGACAAATTCAAATGATTTGCACCTAGCATAGACTAACACCCAAAGTTGCTATCTGCACCATACAGTTGCTTTGAATTGAACATCATTTTAAACACTATTAGGTCCTACTCATAAAATAAGTTGACTTTGAAAACTCTCTTTGCTGGAGTCGTTTACTAGTAAATAGACGAATTGTTGATTGAAGTAAAGACACAGACGCTCATTCTTCCCCACACCCTTGTACAATATGAAATTTAGCTATAGAATATCTAGACTAGAATCTTCGACTATGAAGAGTAATAAACGTTACTCCACTTTTAGAATGAAAAATTTAAGCCTCGGATAGAGAAAAATGTTTTGACGATTACTCCCTACCAAATGATTACCTTAGCCAAACCGAAATAGCAACTAACTGTTAACGATTGCATGTTTTATGTCTCATCAATTGAAGAATGGAGAACGAAGATAGAAAATAAAATTTGCACAGTAGTGATTGAAGATCTGTTGTTTGGATTGTTCAACTATGTTATAATTGAATTGGCTACAGCTGGTCCATACAGATATAATTTCTACTCTAGTATACAATAGTCGATAGTAGAATACATTATACAGTAGTTACCTTCAGTATCACTGGTGTCAGACAGGGGAGGTTCATTGGCGATGTATTGTCGACCACTCAACAGGTTACTCTCCACCACCGGCCTCTTGTCCTCCAACTGACGACGGAATGTCTACTCTAGTATACAATAGTCAATAGTAGGCTACACTATAGTTACCTTCAGTATCACTGGTGTCAGACAGGGGAGGTTCATTGGCAATGTATTGTCGACCACTCAGCAGGTTACTCTCCACCACCGGCCTCTTGTCCTCCAACTGACGACGGAATGTCTACTCTAGTATACAATAGTCAATAGTAGGCTACACTATAGTTACCTTCAGTATCACTGGTGTCAGACAGGGGAGGTTCATTGGCAATGTATTGTCGACCACTCAGCAGGTTACTCTCCACCACCGGCCTCTTGTCCTCCAACTGACGACGGAATGTCTACACTAGTATACAATAGTCAATAGTAGGCTACACTATAGTTACCTTCAGTATCACTGGTGTCAGACAGGGGAGGTTCATTGGCAATGTATTGTCGACCACTCAGCAGGTTACTCTCCACCACCGGCCTCTTGTCCTCCAACTGACGACGGAATGTCTACTCTAGTATACAATAGTCAATAGTAGAATACATTATACATTAGTTACCTTCAGTATCACTGGTGTCAGACAGGGGAGGTTCATTGGCTATGTATTGTCGACCACTCAACAGGTTACTCTCCACAACCGGCCTCTTGTCCTCCAACTGACGACGGAATGTCTACTCTAGTATACAATAGTCAATAGTAGGCTACACTATAGTTACCTTCAGTATCACTGGTGTCAGACAGGGGAGGTTCATTGGCTATGTATTGTCGACCACTCAACAGGTTACTCTCCACAACCGGCCTCTTGTCCTCCAACTGACGACGGAATGTCTACTCTAGTATACAATAGTCAATAGTAGGCTACACTATAGTTACCTTCAGTATCACTGGTGTCAGACAGGGGAGGTTCATTGGCAATGTATTGTCGACCACTCAGCAGGTTACTCTCCACCACCGGCCTCTTGTCCTCCAACTGACGACGGAATGTCTACTCTAGTATACAATAGTCAATAGTAGAATACATTATACATTAGTTACCTTCAGTATCACTGGTGTCAGACAGGGGAGGTTCATTGGCAATGTATTGTCGACCACTCAGCAGGTTACTCTCGACCACCGGCCTCTTGTCCTCCAACTGACGACGGAATGTCTACTCTAGTATCCAATAGTCAATAGTAGAATACATTATACATTAGTTACCTTCAGTATCACTGGTGTCAGACAGGGGAGGTTCATTGGCAATGTATTGTCGACCACTCAGCAGGTTACTCTCAACCACCGGCCTCTTGTCCTCCAACTGACGACGGAATGTCTACTCTAGTATACATTAGTCAATAGTAGGCTACATTATAGTTACCTTCAGTATCACTGGTGTCAGACAGGGGAGGTTCATTGGCGATATATTGTCGACCACTCAGCAGGTTACTCTCCACCACCGGCCTCTTGTCCTCCAACTGACGACGGAATGTCTACTCTAGTATACATTAGTCAATAGTAGGCTACATTATAGTTACCTTCAGTATCACTGGTGTCAGACAGGGGAGGTTCATTGGCGATGTATTGTCGACCACTCAGCAGGTTACTCTCGACCACCGGCCTCTTGTCCTCCAACTGACGACGGAATGTCTACTCTAGTATACAATAGTCAATAGTAGAATACATTATACATTAGTTACCTTCAGTATCACTGGTGTCAGACAGGGGAGGTTCATTGGCAATGTATTGTCGACCACTCAGCAGGTTACTCTCGACCACCGGCCTCTTGTCCTCCAACTGACGACGGAATGTCTACTCTAGTATCCAATAGTCAATAGTAGAATACATTATACATTAGTTACCTTCAGTATCACTGGTGTCAGACAGGGGAGGTTCATTGGCAATGTATTGTCGACCACTCAGCAGGTTACTCTCGACCACCGGCCTCTTGTCCTCCAACTGACGACGGAATGTCTACTCTAGTATCCAATAGTCAATAGTAGAATACATTATACATTAGTTACCTTCAGTATCACTGGTGTCAGACAGGGGAGGTTCATTGGCAATGTATTGTCGACCACTCAGCAGGTTACTCTCAACCACCGGCCTCTTGTCCTCCAACTGACGACGGAATGTCTACTCTAGTATACAATAGTCAATAGTAGGCTACATTATACATTAGTTACCTTCAGTATCACTGGTGTCAGACAGGGGAGGTTCATTGGCAATGTATTGTCGACCACTCAGCAGGTTACTCTCAACCACCGGCCTCTTGTCCTCCAACTGACGACGGAATGTCTACTCTAGTATCCAATAGTCAATAGTAGAATACATTATACATTAGTTACCTTCAGTATCACTGGTGTCAGACAGGGGAGGTTCATTGGCAATGTATTGTCGACCACTCAGCAGGTTACTCTCGACCACCGGCCTCTTGTCCTCCAACTGACGACGGAATGTCTACTCTAGTATCCAATAGTCAATAGTAGAATACATTATACATTAGTTACCTTCAGTATCACTGGTGTCAGACAGGGGAGGTTCATTGGCAATGTATTGTCGACCACTCAGCAGGTTACTCTCAACCACCGGCCTCTTGTCCTCCAACTGACGACGGAATGTCTACTCTAGTATCCAATAGTCAATAGTAGAATACATTATACATTAGTTACCTTCAGTATCACTGGTGTCAGACAGGGGAGGTTCATTGGCAATGTATTGTCGACCACTCAGCAGGTTACTCTCAACCACCGGCCTCTTGTCCTCCAACTGACGACGGAATGTCTACTCTAGTATACATTAGTCAATAGTAGGCTACATTATAGTTACCTTCAGTATCACTGGTGTCAGACAGGGGAGGTTCATTGGCGATGTATTGTCGACCACTCAGCAGGTTACTCTCGACCACCGGCCTCTTGTCCTCCAACTGACGACGGAATGTCTACTCTAGTATACAATAGTCAATAGTAGAATACATTATACATTAGTTACCTTCAGTATCACTGGTGTCAGACAGGGGAGGTTCATTGGCAATGTATTGTCGACCACTCAGCAGGTTACTCTCAACCACCGGCCTCTTGTCCTCCAACTGACGACGGAATGTCTACTCTAGTATACATTAGTCAATAGTAGGCTACATTATAGTTACCTTCAGTATCACTGGTGTCAGACAGGGGAGGTTCATTGGCAATGTATTGTCGACCACTCAGCAGGTTACTCTCCACCACCGGCCTCTTGTCCTCCAACTGACGACGGAATGTCTACACTAGTATACAATAGTCAATAGTAGAATACATTATACATTAGTTACCTTCAGTATCACTGGTGTCAGACAGGGGAGGTTCATTGGCAATGTATTGTCGACCACTCAGCAGGTTACTCTCGACCACCGGCCTCTTGTCCTCCAACTGACGACGGAATGTCTACTCTAGTATACAATAGTCAATAGTAGAATACATTATACATTAGTTACCTTCAGTATCACTGGTGTCAGACAGGGGAGGTTCATTGGCAATGTATTGTCGACCACTCAGCAGGTTACTCTCGACCACCGGCCTCTTGTCCTCCAACTGACGACGGAATGTCTACTCTAGTATACAATAGTCAATAGTAGAATACATTATACATTAGTTACCTTCAGTATCACTGGTGTCAGACAGGAGAGGTTCATTGGCGATGTATTGTCGACCACTGAGCAGGTTACTCTCCACAACCGGCCTCTTGTCCTCCAACTGACGACGGAATGTCTACTCTAGTATACAATAGTCAATAGTAGGCTACATTCTAGTTAGTTACCTTCAGTATCACTGGTGTCAGACAGGGGAGGTTCATTGGCAATGTATTGTCGACCACTGAGCAGGTTACTCTCCACAACCGGCCTCTTGTCCTCCAACTGACGACGGAATGTCTACTCTAGTATACAATAGTCAATAGTAGAATGTATTCTAGTTACCTTCAGTATCACTGGTGTCAGACAGGGGAGGTTCATTGGCGATGTATTGTCGACCACTCAACAGGTTACTCTCCACAACCGGCCTCTTGTCCTCCAACTGACGACGGAATGTCTACTCTAGTATACATTAGTCAATAGTAGGCTACATTATAGTTACCTTCAGTATCACTGGTGTCAGACAGGGGAGGTTCATTGGCGATGTATTGTCGACCACTCAGCAGGTTACTCTCCACCACCGGCCTCTTATCCTCCAACTGACGACGGAATGTCTACTCTAGTATACAATAGTCAATAGTAGAATGTATTCTAGTTACCTTCAGTATCACTGGTGTCAGACAGGGGAGGTTCATTGGCAATGTATTGTCGACCACTGAGCAGGTTACTCTCCACAACCGGCCTCTTGTCCTCCAACTGACGACGGAAGGCTCGGTGGTCATCCTGCGGAGAAAATACATAGTTGTAGACACAAGTAAATATTTAGACATTCTTCTATAGGTAGGTTCAAAATCAAGAGTAAGGCTACAGCTAATAGTTAAGAGCAGGGGTTTAAAATTTGTGTTAATCTCTCCGTATGCTGCCTCAAATGTTGACAATGACCGACAGTTTTAGCTATATGTTATTTTCATGACCCAGTGGTTCGGAACCCAAACTGAAGGTTTTAATACAGTGTATAAGATCAAGAGAAATTTAGATGATTAGGGGATTTTCAGAGGAAGACCACAATGTAATATAAAATTTTGCAGACACAAAAAGTTTAAGGTTAAACACAAATATTTAATGAGTGTTTTTGTAGAGTAACAATAGTAAAAACTGAGAATTTTTTGTATTAACGTATATTTTCAACAATATTTGGTACGGTAATTCAAAGGAATTGGCTTACCCTTATTGCAATAAACCCGACTTAAAATAAAAATATAAAAAACTACAATTGAAATATGCGAATCTTTATCTAATCATGACAAACACGAATCACTTGGATATCGGCAGTATTAATAAGGGGGGAGTCAAATTTGCAGTGATAAACATGTTTAATCATTTTCAAAACACATAGCTTATGTTAATTTAGTAAAGAAAAAGTCTATGAAATCGACATTACCGTTGAACGTTCAAAAAAGGAGGATTATCTTCTTTTAACTCCTTTCCACAAAACCAATAAGTAGTGAATGGCGACGAAGAGTAAAGAGGCAGTTATTAGAACGTAGGTGCATTGTATACCACAAGCACAGTGTGGCTTACTGGCTTACACTCCTTTATAAACTAATTTAATCACACGGCAACTTTAATTAAATCTGTGGCAAACTGTTTGATCTATCTCAAAGCGTGCAATAACGCCTTCCTCATAAGCGGGCACAATAATGCACTCGTTGTATGAATTCCCTTGGGTTCCACGCGGATAATGGAAAATGTCATCTTTTGGTGTAACAATAATGTAATGTCCAAGTAGAACTTATTTATAAAATTAGATTAAATATAAACTTTGGATTTTGGAACTGATTATTTACAGCTGACATCTAAAAGTCTTAAAATGGTCAATTGCCTAAAGGCAATTGGCTTTTTCAATTAATTGACAAAGACGTTTCCATAATAACGATCTGAAATTGCCACTGAGCCCTAATAGCCCGTGGTAAATATATCTTTGCTGCCATTTGAATTTTTGTTTCATAAGTTTTAACATTCAAGGCAAAAGTATTTATATTTGGTGGTAGAAATATGTTGGTAACTTATAATGACATTCGTACATTTTAATATCACTACAGGGATAGCCAAACATTCAAATTATCACCAATAAAAAATTGAAAATTCCTTTCATTCTATAAACTAAAACAAAACAAGCGACGTTTGTTCTTTCTATTCTACATAATCAAATCACTAGAAAACTGAGGAGCATAATAAGTTATAACATTTAAATTTACCAATTATAAGAAAATGCCAAGTATCTAATGAATCCGAGGTAAAAATAGAAAAAAAAACTTGCAATTCAAAAAAATTAAAACGATTGAAACTGTAACCTCAACAAAATTATTCTAATCGTTTACATAAAATAAGACAAGAAACCCACACCAATGTATGACGTTTATTTGAGGCGTTGTTTTGTGTGAAGGATATCATGTAAAGCTGGGTTTTCCTAGACGCGGAGTCGGCCAGCGGAGAGCGGACAACGGAGAGCGGAATTGAAATTAACATGGCATTCCGCTTCGCTGCTAGGAAAACAGTAACATTAAATTACCTAAGACAAGCTGAGTCCGCTCTCCGTTGTCCGACTCCGCGTCTAGGAAAACCCAGCTTTAATGCATATTAACACGATGTAACGCCTGCAGACCGACGAGGCAATCCCGCACGACAGCAGTGTAAGCCGCGCTGCCAACGCGTTTTTGCCGGCGCTCAGAACTGTCATCAACCGCTGTCAAGGGAACCGGTGAACCCACAGGCTCGGGCTGGCCGGGAAATACATTTCTAATCCTTATTCCGCCTTTCTTAAACAATTTAAAACGTTTGTGGATTAGCTTGTCTTGTTATGAAATCATAGTTTTGAATAATCTGAAATTTTTATTTATACTATTCTTTTAGATTTCAAATAAATATTGCGTTTTTATTTTAGTTTGCTTTTTGGAGGTAATTGTGATGCCATTTAATGGTGGTTACTACTCTGTGCACGTTCGGTTCCTCAGTTATTTATTCAATGCATTTACTTATTAGTTCGGACAACGTTGAAATTAAATTTAATTATAATAATTTCAAATGGCCCTACGTATAATAAAAATAAAATATTAAAAATAGATTCATCCCTCTAGGGAAATTTGCTAAAACAATTTTAAATATTGTGATAGTTTTAGGTCATATTTTATTTATAACACAGAAGGATAAAATTCACCATCTGTGTTGCATAAAATAAAATCTATAAGCAAGTAAATCTTAATGGTATTTTATTCATTAGGACTGTTCCAACTGTTCCATTCAATATTTGAGACACATATAAAATCCCTGTGTGTTAGAACTGAAGTTATATTGATGAGTTATAAATTCATAAATTCACAAATGACTTATAATCAGTCGAGTCTTTCATTTAACCGGGATAAATTACTGAAGAATCAGACCAAGGGGAACTGGGACTAGATTAGAAACGACCAAAAGCTCCTGACTTCTTTCAGAATAAGCGAGCACCATACATTATATTCCCCATACACATTTAAACGATTTTAATAAATTAATTATACTTTAGTATCAAAATGTACATTTTGTCTAAAGTATTTGTACTTGAACTTAGAATAACCAAATAAACAATAAACAAATAGACGTCCTAAGTGAAACCTCTTTAGCATAACTGGTTCTAGTTTAGTCTAATTGCATCGGGATTTTAGTACTTGTAAACCTTGCATACAATGTTAAGTAGGTCTACACACTGATGTGACGGTAATGGCTACTAACCAGTTGTTTCTGCAGGGAGGCCACGTCACCACCGATGGGTCCCAGGCCGGTCAGCTCAGTGTCTTTGCGGATAACCCACTCAAACAACTCACGCAGCGACAGCAGCAGCGCCGTCCAGTGCTCGGCGTTGCTCTCCAGACGGTTCCTACAACAGAACACCGAGAATATAGTAGACAGAAATTAAAGTACAGCAGTTTACAATCTATTGAAACATTTTTCCACGTAATAGATACAGAAACGGTGAGGGGTTCGTTCTCATACTGCCAAAAGTAGTACCATAGATGCAATTATAAATGGTAATGGTAAGAACCACAATGGTACTTATTTACCATGATGTAGTACCAAAACTACTAGTTATTTCATATACAATACAGAAATTTTCAAACGTGATGTCTGTGATTTAAGTTCCGAAACTTACGGTTTAGAGTGTCATTGTATAGAATTTTTAATACACCCTTATTATCTACAACAAAGTCTTTCGATACTTCTAACCTTGAATAGGCCTAAGGTCTCCCAGCACCGAAGCTAATCCCGAATCCATGTCTTGAAACTTGTGACAAGCAGAAAGTTGTTTCCACGTTTAACCTCTTATCTCCTGACAGAGGTAGGTGAACACCAGACAAGAAAGGTCAATCAATTATCAATTTATAACCAATTAAATTAGTATACGAGCATATGTAAACTAATTCCCAAAATTTCAGGGCAACAATAAAAAAATATATATCCTATACCAAACAATAGAGCGTTGCAATATTGCAATAATTCGTTATCCACGTAGTTCTTGTGAGGTCTGAGAGGATTTAAAATACCACAAACAATACCGAGCTTAAACACTGAAATAACAGAAACAAAGTAAATAGTAAAGTCACTAATAGTAGCGAAGTAGATTCCAATAAACGGATTGTTCTTTCAGACAATGGTCCAATAGACTCTCTGAGCACTCTAAGCTGCTCAGTAAATACATTGTCTCTCTGCTTCTATCCGATGATAGTGTCTATTGCACATTGCACTTCCACGTGATTGTCTCTCCGATGGTTCAGACAATGGTCCAATAGACTCTCTGAGCACTCTAGCTGCTCAGTAAATACATTGTCTCTCTGCTTCTATCCGATGATAGTGCGCTACAAACTGTCTCACTATTGCACATTGCACTTCCACGTGATTGTCTCTCCGATGGTTCAGACAATGGTCCAATAGACTCTGAGCACTCCAAGCTGCTCAGTAAATACATTGTCTCTCTGCTTCTATCCGATGATAGTGTCTATTGCACATTGCACTTCCACGTGATTGTCTCTCCGATGGTTCAGACAATGGTCCAATAGACTCTCTGAGCACTCTAAGCTACTCAGTTCTCTCTGGTTCTATCCGATGATAGTGCGCTACAAACTGTCTCACATTGCACATTGCACTTCCACGTGATTGTCTCTCCGATGGTTCAGACAATGGTCCAATAGACTCTCTGAGCACTCTAAGCTACTCAGTTCTCTCTGGTTCTATCCGATGATAGTGCGCTACAAACTGTCTCACATTGCACATTGCACTTCCACGTGATTGTCTCTCCGATGGTTCAGACAATGGTCCAATAGACTCTCTGAGCACTCTAAGCTACTCAGTTCTCTCTGGTTCTATCCGATGATAGTGCGCTACAAACTGTCTCACATTGCACATTGCACTTCCACGTGATTGTCTCTCCGATGGTTCAGACCCATCCATACAGCAGCTATAAACCCATCCATACGGTTATACACCCATCCATACGGTTATACACCCATCCTTACAGCTATACACACATCCATACGACGATATAACCTTATATACCCCAATATACCCTTTCATACCACATTATATCCTTCATTACCCTTCCATACCACCCTATCCCTCTCTAGCCTTCCACACCCCTCTTTAACCTTCCATACTACGCTATACCCTCGTCCATACGATTCTATAATCTTCCATACCCTGCTTTAACCTCCAACACCCCTCTAAAACCTTCTGTTCACCAATATACCCTTTCATACCCCACTATATCCTTCAATACCCTTCCATACCACCCTATAACCTTTCATACCCCTCTATAGCCCTCCACACCCCTCTTTAACATTACATACAACGCTATATCCGTTCATGCTGTGCAACACCCTTCCAAAAGTAGCTAAGACCTTTCCAAATTCTGATATACCCAACGATATACCCGGTATACCTTTCGAACCCCCGCTATAACCTTCTATTCCATGCTATACACTCCATATTACCACTAGATACACTTCACCACACTCTTTATACCTATCCCTGCTATACTCTTGAACACCTAACTAATCTTCCATAACCTGTTATAGGCCCTACCCTTCAAAACCTCACTTTAATCGTATACTCCCCGCTTTACCCTTCAATACCCCCCTATTCCCTCACCCAAGCTTGATGTGTTGTGTGCGTATATTTTGGATGTAAAATACCACACGATGGTTCAAAATTTATACGTATAATCACACACACCTCTTTAAAATTCAATTGACCAACCAAGAGCTGTAATCTAACGCGCACAATGCTTCGCTAAACAAGACGAGGTGTCTTATCTGGCATCTGATTGGTCAATGTCGGCCATTGTTTGGTTGTTTGGTTGTATCAGATATGAGATGCAGATCGTGTATCTTGTGATCTGACGTCATAGACAGAGGTCGCTCACGACTCATGAGGAGACGAGGAAAGTTGCAAATCCAAATATTCTGTCAAAACGATTTTATGTAAACGTAAACATAAAAATATACTGTTGCTCTTCCATAAAACACAGCTATACAGTGGCTAGATGTTATAAAATATCCAGGAGTTCACCAATCGACGTGAAGTTCAAGTTCATAATAAGAGAAAAATTTAAAATTATGAATCTTTTCGCAAAAGCTATTGTTCTCACACAAGCTTTTATGGGCTACTTTCCCCAAAGGAAAGATTTTCCGACATTAAATTTATTCCTTTAGTTTTGCTACATAAACTAATCCCAATTGAATGTTCTGTGCTTTCATCCAGTTTTAATTGCACAACTCAAAAACATAATATACTCGGGGAACAGGGGTCTTTTTCGGAGGGCCGCCACTTTTTCTGTGGAATAACTACAGTTTAGGTTAGGTTAGGTTAGTTTATCCTACGTTTTCTTTTTATTTACTGAACAAAAATAATCACAAAAACTAAAAAATCCCTTAACCTAAACTGTGGATTTTCCATCGTTTAAATAGTGGCGGCCTCTTAACAGACCCCTGAATAGTATTTTACACTTGACATTAACATTTAGTAAATCATTACAAATAAATAATTTAACTCAACTGCTAAACTAAGTACAAAAGGTAAATTACATGCCAATATGACTGGATCGTATTGTTTACAGCGGCACAGTTGGCTAACCTGCTTTAACCTTTGACCACGCCAATGTGGTTAACAAAGAGCCGCGCCGTGGTTCAAGTCCATCATTAGAGGTCTGTTATTTCGTTGGACTTTTCATTCGCAGACCGGGACCGCCATCAATGCCCTGTCTACATCGTTGGATCATTCCAAGTGCTTTGCAATTATGTACCCGACAATACGTTTGTTCCACTGTAAGCTCAAAGGACAAATATATATTTAAAAATTATCTCGTGTTGAATTAGTTTCTCATAGAGAATATTTTATAGTATTATAGATTTATGTAAGTGTGTCTATTGAATATTTACTTATTTGTGATTTGTTTTTGAAAAGAAGTTAAAACCGATTAAGCCAAAAATTTAAATTGACTGGTTTTGCTTATTAAACATTAGAAATTAGCAGACATTCAGATAGTTGTTACTCTAATTTACTTTCCCTATAAAATCAATATACTAAAACATGAGGGTGAATCTTACATTGCTGGACAATGGAGAATTTTAATTGTCAAACGGCGTGGAAAATATCTTTTAATGTTATAAATGACTCTATGAAAAAAAAAACCAGTTGCAACTAGAAACTATACATGGCACACACAAGAAGCATTTATGAACCATTGCAAAAAAAGTTGAAATTTAACAACAGTATATTTTAAACACAATCCAAATCCTTGATTAAAACTTATATTTATACTTATATTATATTATATTGTGAGATATTTTTACAATGCTTTTACCACATCAAGATACGGGTTAAAATTGTCCTCGATCGCAAAGCATTCAGATTTATTCAGATTTTAAGGACTTATGTAAATTAAAGGATAATTAAAACAATAAACGGAAAACAGTCGGATATTCCGACCTTTCATTACTCCAGCGATCCAATTAATTTAAACCCTGATCAGAATAAGGTACTTGGTTTGACCCTAGAGTCGAGTGGGTCAAAGTGCAAGGGCCAAACTATGAGGTCATTAGTGGATGGAAAACACTTCATTATTTCTTAAACACTCAAGATTAAAAAGACCAGTCGTGGATTGCACGCTTTTGTTGTAAATGAGCTCGAATACGGCCTTTACTAGTTTTGAATGAATTTACTTGACAATAGTACAGAGAAATGAATTTGTCGTGTTATATCAGATATTTTTTATACCTAAGTGGATATCTTATCTATAGATGGGATGGTCGTAGCCAGTTTTTTACACTCTAGACATCATGGTTCAACGGGATTGTCACAGTCAAGCGGCTGTCAAAAATATTATACACTGTGTATTTTCCTATTAGTTTACTTTAGACCACCTGTAGCCAATTTTACCCCAACAGAACATAGTTAAATGAACCACTCACAGAACGCGCTAGTGTCTAGAATTAGATTTTCTCCCTTATTTTTTGTTGCTAGCCAAGTTAAATGGGTCATAACGGTTGCTATAGCTTGCAATAAGTCAAATTCGTTTGAATTGCTAAAGACGATTGTGTGTACAGTAGAACCTCTTTAATCCGAACTAATTGGGACCAGGGGTAGTTCGGACTAGTGAATAGTTCGGATTACAGAACATATTGTTGTTTTTACATAACAATAGCTAAATCATGGCTAAAATTGATCTAAATTATTTTGGGAAAAGTAAAAAAAATGTTTTATAAAATAAATACAGTGTTTATTTAATACAGTAGTAAACATGGTGAATAAACAGTACTGTAAATTAAATACAGTATACAATAAAGAACTGCTGTACTATGTATAGAGTACAGCAATGAGGGGTTC